CCCATGTTCCAGCAATTTTTTGATGTCATGTTTTGTTCTTTTCTCAATGTGCAACAGTGAAAGTTTGTGCTTTTCAAAAATGAAAGATTAAAAATGAATTAAATAATGCGCCATTTATAAACAAGCAAAAAAATACAGTGGGATTGCATTGCAGTCACAACTATAGTTGCTTTCGAATATCTTTACAATTTATTACTCCTTCCGTCCTAAATGTCCTGAATGTCTTATTTAGATGTTTTATAAAACTGATTCTGTAATGTAATAATATTTCCAAACACTGATGGCAAAATACACTTCCATTTTAAATTGCAAAACTTGAATGAGACAAATTTTCATTGCATTATTTATCTTTCTATTTCCTTTAAACTTCGCCATTACGGGTTATGTTGTTTCGTACTTTCTTTTTCCTCAGAACATATCCTAAATTTACAACCAAACACCGAACTGTCCATGGATAAACATAGCTTCCAGATATTTCGACACCAAGTAGATAGATAGAGAGAGAGAGAAGGGGATATATGCATATAAAACCCCAAATACGCTTTGAAATTAGTGTCTCCGACAGGTTACAATGGAACGATTCAAAACCCCTGTGGGAGAAATATCGCATTAATTGATTCTACCAACATTTACAGACATGCCTTTCTCAGGCTTCCTAATTCTAACTAGAACCATGAAAATGGAGGAAACCAAACTAGGGAAGCAGATAAACGGAGAATTAACCAGCTTCATCTATGTGGCTGTTTTCTCCCAGAAAAAAATAAGGAAAAGAAAAGCAGCAGAGAGAACGGGTTGTCTTTTTGATGTCTAACTTCATCCTCGGAGCATCGAAGCTATAAGAGACTCAAAAACATGTTGTTGGCAAGGAATAGTGAGACCTCTTTGATTGCAGAACCCAAATTCTTGAGCTGCTTCATGGAGCAACTCTGAAACTCGGGACGCCTCAGAAACCAAATAGGCACAATATATCTGCTTCTCTTCTCTCCCACATACACCACAAAATGACCCTTTGGCACGTCCATTGGCAAACCCTCTTCTTCCTCCTCGTTCTTCACCATACTTGACCATCTCTTCACCATTTCCTTCATCGCTGTTCTCTCTGAACCAACCCTCCTTGTCTCTTTCAATCCCAATTTCTCTCTGCACATTCTTCTCAGCGACATAGCCTGAACTTTCCGAGTAGTGTCTCAAAAACAACTTTAGCTTCGTATTTATGGTCACTCTGCTCAGCAAGAGCACTGAACCCTTGAGGGGGGGAGAAACAGGGTCACGTGGGGAATGGGATTGTGGGACTAAGCAAAAACTAAGCCTAGGCCTCTAGGGTGCTCTGGTTTAAGTCTTAACAAAAGAAAAAATGAAAAAATAGGGTGGTCCGCTCCCGTTTTGTACAAAGTACAAGTCTATAAGATGAATCATGTTGTTGATAGCTATATTTAAATTTAAATTTGATATTTATGGTGTGTTTTATAGGTGTATTAATTTTTTTCTCCTAAGGGTACGTACGTTAGTACAGGACGGTTTCATCCGTAGGTAGGCTCTACATGTGAATGTCACTTTGGACATCCTATTCCCCATGACAGTCGTACATTGTGCAGTGTCGTTCCCCTTCCAAAAGACAATTTGGTCCCAGCTCAAATGCATTGATTAAACAGTCCGTAAAAACAAAGTTTATGCGAATATGATTAGCTAATTTATACGTCTTTTTCCAAGTTTAAGTTGTAAAACTCTGGATGATTTTAATGAGTTTTAAGACTCCACTTACGTTAGTATTTTACTTTGAAAAATAATGTACTGTTAGTGTACTCTGTTGTTCTTCCTTCCTAGTAAGAGTACATAAACGGATAACTCCGTAGGGTGGCTAATAAGTAAAAAAGGCAATAAACTAATCATGTTCTACTTTTTTTTTTGAAATGTTACATTTGATACGAGTAACTACTAATAAAGTTACTATAGTTTAATCCATATATCTATTAATGGTAAGTTGTCTTGATGGTAAACGTCACTCATATGTTTAGATGAGATTTTAGATTTAAGCATGATGTTAGATATATTTATATGTGTGTCCTTGATTGTATAAAGGAAAAAAAATTCCATATACTTGTGAGAACAAGTGAACATGGGATATAGATGCATTAGGTCCTTGCTATAACCTAAAATCTCATTTTCAGGGAGACACACACAAACACACTTACTTTGGCTTCCTAGGATCGTTTGATTCTTTTCAATGTATTTAACCGATTCAAAAGTTTCGAGGATATAGTTTTTGTGTCATACTCTGCTTTTGAGATGCTTGACATGTTTCCACCTTCTTTCTCAGGCTTATGACACACAGCTGTGAGCTGTTCAATGCAACACTTGCAAGGGAAATTCTATGAGCAGAAACAAGAAAATATGGATAAAGGAAAAAAAAGTGAACTCTTATATATTTTCTTTATTAGATGCCACAGAATTTATGTAATCCAGTTTTATGATAAATTTACCAGACATGGAATTGTTCTTATATATAAAGAAACTCCTAATCTTCAGGTTCAGCCACTAATAATATAAGTCAAAGATCTATTATCCCTCCGGGATTTGGCCGACCTCAAAAATTCACTGGCCAGAATTGAGGATTATACAAAGTGCGCAGGCCAGCTCTCTTTAAATAATACTGATGTATTAGAGTCAGCAATTTTCACCGGGCATTAAATTGAGAGGCAAAATATAATATACTGACCAGAGAAACAATGACTTAGCAAAATGGAATACGCCTGTATTGTTCCCTTATTTCACTGATTACCCTTTCACAGTATGTCAATATTCAACCTTTAAAATTAGTGGGACTCTGAAGAATCTTTGACAAATACACAGAAAGGCAGTGTACTCCTTAAGGCTCAAACACTCACATCAAGCACGGTCCAATTCAACACAACATCAAATCAAATAAAAGGCAAAATAGTATATTATATATATATATATGAGAGTAAAACATAGAGGAAAGAAATTTGAAGGTGAACTTTGAAACTGTACAGAGACAGTACTGGAGCATCACGAGGGACAAGTTCACACCCAAGTTAAATCCGCAGGATTGATTGAAAAGGAAAGAAAAAGGAGGGGGTTGGCAAATTCCAAGGGGAAGAAATGGCAATAACTTTTTCCAATTCACTGCCACTGCCAGGGAGCACATGAAGGCATGTTACTTTTGCACTCAAAACCTGACTAGACAACGCGGGTTGTAAGGACTTGTTAGTGTCAGCACCAACTGCTTTTTCCCCAATTCACTAAACATCATACAGACTCAACACCTGCGTGTTTCAATCTCTCACAAAAACCTCCACACACCACACCCTACCATCATAATAGCCCAAATAAATAGTGGTGCCCCACACTTCCCCCAAAACATTAAATACTTACCCTCTGATGCAACACGATTGTCAAGCCATCTCATACTCTAGCACCATGTACCCTGCAGTATTTTACAGTGTATGGTTATTCACAGGAAAATCCGCTTTGAAACTAAGTGGTTTCTTTCTTTAACCGGAGTCCTATGAGGAGAGTCTCGCATGAAAGATGAAACTTAAAAATCTTCGGAGTGCTCCCATTTAATAGACTGGTTTTTTTTTTTTTTTTAAGAACACTCTTTATCTAATAAACTATCAAGCAAAGGCAAGCAAAATATTGACCCCATTACGGCATGTGAAAGGACTTGACGGATGCATGCACGCCTAACATGTACAGAGTATGGTGGCATATTGATGCCAAACTTGGTTTGTATGCTACAGACACTGTTATGTGGTTATTAGAGTTAAGAGGATTATTACTTAATTAGAGAGGACTACTAATATAAACTAAGTATCAGTGAATGTATGGGGGGCTGTCTTGTGAAATCAAATGCATTCTTTTTTACTTTTCCTATTTATTATACGGGTAAAAGACAAACGACCGACCGACCGACCCCGACCATGACATGATAAGGACCAATCCTACAAGAGGGTCCTAGCCAGGGTGTGGGTGGACAGTTCGCTGGGCAAGCCTGCTTGAGACTTATGAGGCCTAGGGATGTTAAAGAGCTCAATAATAGGCAGGGCTGGGTTATAGAGTGGGCCTGAGCTCTTAGGCCTGCCTGAGGGAAAGTCACCGGGGAACTAAGTCCCGCGTGATAACAGTAGCAGTGTTCCCATCTTCTAGTTAAATGTGAATAAAGCCTAGCCTACACAACCGTGTCCGTTGACTCCTGCACAGTGTAATTCAGAAGAAAAGCGTCACAAAAGTTAAAAAGGAAGAACGACGAGGAGGAGGGGGGGGGGGGAGGAAGCTCAACGTTGATATATGTTACCACCACTCCCTCAATGCCTGAAAGCTTTTAAAACCACCTACTCATCAGATCCCACATGCACATCGAATCATAGATCCTACATCTAAAACGGGGTTATAAAACAAAATTGGTGCACGCTTTTTCTTTTTCTCTCTTTCATTCTGCCTTTTTATCCTGAGATTGTGCCCTTGTGAACATGTATGCATTTTACTAGCTAAGGTCAGCCAGGTCAAGAGTACATGTTTTCTCTTACATTGCTTTAGTGGAAATCAAATTTTGACCTAATCCGATGTGAAGCCAAATGTGATACCTGTACAAATACATACTGAGAGGGGGAAAAAAGCCCTTATCCTCACTCCTCAGGTCCAAAGATGATCAAGAAGTTTTCAAATCCAGAAACGTGTATAGGCCTCTCCGAGCGATTAAGTTGACAAGACTTCGACTTCTATAATGTAAAAACTCTTAGAAAGTCACACTATTTACAGTTACCATCAATGGAGCTTATTTATCGCTCAGTGATACCATTGAAACCCACATTAGTTATATCGTACAACTTACAAGTGTCATGAACATCACCGCTCATAATAATTCCCTAATGAAAAATTCAAAATAATTCAAAGGGTACAAAAATTTCAAACATGCCAGCGCATGCTGAAGCTGAAATATGACTCATGGGCCTGGAAAACCTGACATAGAATTGGGCAGAAGTTGACGACGGAATCATACTTTCTAGTTCCAAGTATTCTTTCTCCACACTCGTTAAGAATTAACACTTCGTCAAATCTAAGATGACAAAACTGCAGGCTTCTGTGATGATTCTTCCGCCTGCAGACTCTCATAATACTTGACAAGAACCTGCCATCCACCAGGGCACATAAAACCATCCGGTGGATTCTCCCCACTTCTTGCATAAGCTCGCATCTGTAAAAAACACATCCCCAAAAGAAGAAAATAAATAAATATCTACAAAAGCGGCTCTAATTGCAGACGAAAACTAGCTGGTTGATAATTCATGAGCAAAACAAGTTCAAGAAGAATCACGTATAATGGGGCCATGTAATGAAAACAGAGAGTAACTAATGACAAATTCAACACATCACAGGTATATAGAGCCTTATATGATATTGATTGAGCGATGGGTAACAAATACCTTCGTTCCTGATATGAAAAGGAAATTTTCAGAGCGAGTTGGATCAAAAAATGCCATCTTCTTTTCCAAAGTGTCATATGCTGCCACCTGCAATTGAAAAAAAAAAAGGCACATATGGCAGAAATCGTCATGTCCCACATTGAGAGTTGCTATAGGCAAGGTCATCGTGCCTGGTAGAGATTACTTGTAGACAGACACACGTTGGATGCACAGTTTGGGAAGCCACATAAATGTGCGGTGAATCCGTGATGATCTCAGTACACATAAGCATGTCATGTATTGAAATACACAATTCACAACCATTAAAACTGTCGGGAAGACATCAAACCAGTGAGATTAGATTTTGTAATGTTCAAGGTAATCATATATGCACAGATGTATAATTTTAACTTTTGGGGTATGTAAAATCACGGGCAATTCACAGAATTTAACCACTCAAAGAAGAGGATACAAGGTATGCTTCAGTACGTTGTCCGCTTGAAAATGTATCAATTTGAACAAAACTTAGCCAAAAGATTAGGATTTCTTGGTCTACTGAATGAAGACTGGAACTAAGAATTTAAGAAAACCAAAAGATGTCTCATTGAGTGCATATTCCAGAACAAGACAGATGATCGTGATGACTGACCCATTACCCATTTAGACTTGAAAATTAAAAGGCCAGCTAGTACCAATAATTACACTGCCATCAAAAGAACCACAGATAAATAGTTCCCCACATATATTAATCACAAAAGTATGATGGAATTACCCGCTAAAACAAGCATGCAAGGCTGAATATGGAGGAAAGTAACATTTCAAAAACGGTGCTGTGAAGAGATATATTTGATAGAGAGGAGCAATAACATAAAGCCGTGTGCTATTACTCACTTTGAATGGCAGGATATTAAGCTTCTCAAGGCCAGGAGCCATGCTGAGCACCTTTTCCCATGATCTGGGTCATATAAATCCCTTTTCTGAGTTGGATGACCCATTCCAGCAGGATCACGACCTACAATATAGAAGTTGGCACCTGCATTTATCCGTGCCTTGGCATGCCACTGTACTTCAGTTGGACCTGCATAATGCATAGGGATGGAAATATGGCAACTATAGTAGTCTCAGGATCAAGGACTCCATCTTCTAAGACCTGAGCAGGTGAAAAAATGACCTTAAAGAAGCTGGGATAGAATTCAATGAATCTTACATATAGGAGACAGGCCAAATCATGTCCGTGATCGGGCAATGAGAAATAAATAGATTGTAGCCATTACTGAATGAAGACTGGAACTAAGAATTTAAGAAAACCAAAAGATGTCTCATTGAGTGCATATTCCAGAACAAGACAGATGATCGTGATGACTGACCCCTTACCCATTTAGACTTGAAAATTAAAAAAGGCCAGCTAGTACCAATAATTACACTGCCATCAAAAAACCACAGATAAATAGTTCCCCACATATATTAATCACAAAAGTATGATGGAATTACCCGCTAAACAAGCATGCAAGGCTGAATATGGAGGAAAGTAACATTTCAAAAACGGTGCTGTGAAGAGATATTTGATAGAGAGGAGCAATAACATAAAGCCGTGTGCTATTACTCACTTTGAATGGCAGGATATTAAGCTTCTCAAGGCCAGGAGCCATGCTGAGCACCTTTTTCCCATGATCTGGGTCATATAAATCCCTTTTCTGAGTTGGATGACCCATTCCAGCAGGATCACGACCTACAATATAGAAGTTGGCACCTGCATTTATCCGTGCCTTGGCATGCCACTGTACTTCAGTTGGACCTGCATAATGCATAGGGGATGGAAATATGGCAACTATAGTAGTCTCAGGATCAAGGACTCCATCTTCTAAGACCTGAGCAGGTGAAAAAATGACCTTAAAGAAGCTGGGATAGAATTCAATGAATCTTACATATAGGAGACAGGCCAAATCATGTCCGTGATCGGGCAATGAGAAATAAATAGATTGTAGCCATGTGAAGGACGGTTTAAGTGATTTTTCAGGGTATATGTAACTTTCAATTGTTATAGAACATGCAAGTTACGTTCGTCCATGCAATATAAGAAGAACAAGTGGATTACCTTGCTATGCTGTTCCATCCTGACATCCAAGGGCACATCATCGGCCTTAGTGAAACCTCCAAGAGGATGGAGTAATAAAATTGGATTCTTGTAGCCCATATCCAATAGGCGCCTGCGAGTATCATTCATTAACAAGGCATGACCATTATGCACAGGATTTCTTAACTGAAAAGCAAAAACTGCATCAGCTTCCCGCTTATCAAATTCTTGGCGGAGCTGTTTGGGAGAAAGCCTGTAGTTGTCAAGGCCGTCATTGTACTTGATAGGTTTCAGAACTTCTAAATCGCCTCCAATAAGCCAATTGCCAGCTGAAGCAATAACCTCCTCAACGTACGGCAATCCTGGAGCAGTTGTTCCCCAAGTTCTAGCTATCCTTTCCTCCTTGTTATGCTTGTATATTTCAACACTGAAACATGGTCAACAGGTCAACGAAAGCAAAGATACACCATGAAATATTATTTAGATAGACAGCACATGATTGTCCAGTGATTTCATAAGCAATGGAGTTGGCGAGTTGCTATAAAGTAGGACGCTGAAAGTTGGAAAGAGAGGACCCTCTCCACCAAACTTAGCCAGGGGAAAACTGCTCTATTAGTAAAGCTGTCCGCCAACTTTCCAGCACAAATGCAGTTGCATGTCATACCGAATTCTAACCTTGAAATATCAAATGCAATGAAAATAGGCATGTCCATGGAAGAAACCCTTTCTCGTCACATCCGTTTGTCATTCATGTTATAGTTCAAAGATGAAAACGTCGTTCGTGTTGCATGGGAATATGAAACTCGACCGACGCCGACGATTAAACAACAATAAAATAAGAATGATAACGGATCGAAGAAAGACGAAATGAGTAAATACTAACCTTCGAAGTATGGCAACGTGATCTCCATCAGGCCCAAACAATGCCACGTGAGGGGACGACCCAATTCGGCTCTTGGTGTCGTCATCAATGGCCAAAACAATGGGAAGCGACATGTTAACCACGGTGCCATCCTTCATCCTCAAGGAATTGAAATGCAAACTCTGCAGATACTCGTGCTCCCTCATGAACCCTCCCAAAGGGCTGGCCCATCCTTCACTGAGCACATGAACCCATTCGAGATCAATTTTGGAGAGCTTCGCATGAGGCAATGACTCCGCCTCTGACGTCTTGGAAGCCCTCAGGCCCTCGGGCACCACAAGATCCACCAATGTCCCTCCGTCCGGTTCAATCAAAGAGCTCTTGATGATGGGAGCAGCACCAGCCTTATGATCCGCAGGCATTTTGTAAATATGAGTCCTGGGGATTAGCGGATTAGGATTACAAAAAGGTTTGGGTCGAATTGTGGAGATGAAGTTGGGGCAAGAGGCTATGTTGGAGACACGGTGGTTGTGATTGAGGTTGAGGTAGGAAGCTATGTGTATTTTAATGGTAAGAGACATGGCGGTGGAGGGGGATACGAAATAGAGGGAAACGGTTGAGGATGATGCAATGCAGAGAAGCGGGTAAATTGGGAAGCAATAGCAGGGTAGGAAGTAGAAGCACCTCTAAATTTGGCGAACATGATGCGAGTTGAATGAGAATCACAAGCGCAAGCACATCGATGCAGATAACACAGCCCCACACAAGTTGCGGTTTCCGTCTGCTTTTTCCGAGTTTGTGGCTCGCAGGTGTTTGCTGGTCCGCGTAATCAAGCTGGGCGCCGCTCCAATGGATCGGCTTTGTATGGGATCTTCCAAAGCTTTTCAAGCAGGGATCTTGTGTGTGTGTTTAGATATACTACTGTTTAGATATATTACTGTGAGAACGACTGTTTAAAAAAAAATAAATAAATATGAGAGATAAAATAGATTGGAAATTTATATTTAGAATCAAAATAAAAATAAACAAAGTCTTATACTACCTTCGATCCTAATTATAAGATCTAGTTGACTAATTTAAGGAGGTTAAGGAAAGAAGTTAAGTTAGTTATTTGTAATAAATAAGTGCTGTCTTTCTTAAAATATCCCTACTAATCAACTATATTGGCTAGAACTATAATTATTAGAAGGACTATCTTGGAAAAAATGTATAAATATAAGAAACAAAGTGGATTGGAGTTTTATACTTATGATCAAAATAAAAGTCAAATAAGATCTTATATTAAAGATTGGAGGTAGTATTAAAGACGGGAAGTAGTATATAATTATTATTATTAAGGGAAAAAACAGGTTTTTCCAGTGGACGCAAATCAGCATTAATGGACAGTTAAATTCCAAAGTCAGGGTTGACTTTTTTTTGGGTACAAGTAAGGTTGACTTAAAAGTAGGGGAAAATTTTATCTGAATAAATTCTCTGTTATAATCTTGTCTAATTTTTAATTAGGTTATACTACCTCCGGTTCTTAATATAAGATCTTATTTGATTTTTATTCTGATCCTAATTAGAAGACCCCAATTCACTTTGTCTCTCACATTTATGCATTCTTTCCCAAGATAATCCCTCTAATAATGGTAGTTCTAACCAATAAATTTTATTAGCAAGGATGTTTTAAGAAAGATAACACCTATTTATTACAAATAACTAATTTAACTTATTTTCTTAATATTCTCAAATTAGTTAACTAGCTCTTATAATTAGGACCGAAGGTAGTATATATATATTTTATTAGGTTAGATTCTTATAGTTCTACTTGATTTTTAATCAAAGTGCTGTGGTTTTTTAAACAGAATTTTAATTTTGATAATTTAAAGATTAATTTGGAAATTACTTTTCATGGACCAAGGACAACTTGATTCAATGATAAAAGGTTCCAGTTTTATACTCCAGAATGACAAAAAAAAAAGGATTTATTTCTTATAATCTCTACATCTTTTATCTTTTTAGAATATTACACGTCTAGTTCTCAATATTAGGATTAAAATAGTAAATAACCTTCAATACATCTCATTTTTTATATCTTCAATTATTAATTGAATAAAATTAATATTTGAGTATTACTCGTATTTTACAATTAAATAGTATAAATTTGTAATTATTATGTATATACTTCTCTAAATATGATTATCAGAGTGAAAAACAATTTTTTTACTCTGTTCATATATTTATATTGCAGGAAAATAATGAAAGAGGAAAAGGAAATGAAAAAGGAAATGGAAGAAAGAAAACTAAACAAGTATGGTAAATGTGCTGTGGAAGATTAGGAAGCAAAGCTCAAAGAAAATAAATTAAAAAAAGAATCGGAGAAAAGACTTAAAATGCCGTGGATACTGCGAGAGATAAGAAAGCAGCATGATAGAGCAACGGACGATGGCGATTGGCGCCATGGAGTACAATAACATTCACGCTTATGTTCCCGCTTCCCCGACTTCTTCCCTTTTCTCCCTGACGTTTCTCCCTCCTGTCCCTCCTCTCACTCTCCCTATTCTCCTTCTTTCTCCCTACTTTCCTTCTGTCTCTCTATTCTCTCTATCCTCCTGTTCTGCCGCTCCCGCATCACGAATACTGCGAGTGAGTCAAGATGGGAGTCCCGGCTTTTTATCGTTGGTTGGCTGAGAAGTATCCGGTAGTGCTGGTGGAGGTGATCGAGGAGGAACCTGTTGTAATCGACGGCGTCGAAGTTCCCGTGGATACAAGCAAGAAGAACCTCAACGATATCGAATATGATAACCTCTTCCTCGTCATGAACGGCATCATTCACCCCTGCTTCCACCCCGAGGATCGGGTATTCTCTGATGTCTTACTTGAATCATCTTGCTACTTCTCTTATAATCGGCTCTGGAAGAGTGTTCAATCATTGCCTACCTTCTATACTAGATGTTACATATTGCATTGCACGTTTTTTTTCCTTTCAATTTGCGATGAATATTAGCCGTAGGCGATTTCATGCTCTTCAGAAGACCTAGATGGAATCCCAAGGTGGGAGCAGGAATGCAATAATCGAATGCTTATTTATTTGCTGAATTTCGGAAGCAGATAGAATTATAGAGTGATGCTATATGTTCATTCAGTTCCCTATCAAGTTTATTTTATTTTTGCTCCGATATTCTTTTGGTTCATGATTATAATACGTTTTCATTTGCTTTAATATTCGGTTTCTGATCTTCATTAAGGATTGTCTGGAGTAAGAATCTATCGATCTATTTTTAATTAAATTACTTTTGAAAGACTGTTTATGCCTAATTAGGATGCTTAGTTCCTTTTCTTTTTGTTAGTCTTCCTTTTCTACTGGTATGTAATCACTTTATCCAAAAAAAAAAAAAAAAAGGTACTTCTGTTTTAAACCTCGACATTTTGGATTTTTCTGTCAAACTACTTTTTTTCCTCGTTACCCTAATGTACATATGTTTACTTATTCTTTACCGCATTCCTTTTTCTTGCGTTGCAGCCATCCCCAACTACGTATGACGAGGTGTTCCAGTGCATGTTTGACTATATTGACAGGATATTTGTCATGGTGCGGCCTCGGAAGTTGCTTTTTATGGCTATTGGTATGGGTTTGGATTGGTCTTGTTGGTGATAAAAGTGGTTCCTATTATCATGTACATTGTGAATGAATATTATTGCGTCTCATTGTAGATGGCGTTGCCCCAAGGGCTAAAATGAGCCAACAGCGATCTAGACGGTTCAGAGCAGCAAAAGACGCGGCAGGAGTAGTATGTAATGATAGTTTTTACACCACCTGTCAACTCATTATTATCATTATTTTTATGAAATGATAACAACAGTGACAACGTTTATTGGATAGGATTTGCCCCTACTTAATTTCTTTCGTGTTTTTGAATTATAGGCTGCTGAAGAAGCAAGGTTAAGGGAGGAATTTGAGAGGGAGGCCCTTTTTTAATGGGCATTTTTGCACTTTTTCATCATGCTTATCCTTAGAAATAGTTTGTTTTTTTGAGTTGGTGCTGGTGCAATGTTTCTGTCATTCTTTATATATTGCAAATATTTTTACTGCTGAATAGTTATTTTCATTTAATTTCACCTTTTTAATGAACTATTTAATTTCACTTTATTTGCTCTAATATCTCTTGTTTTAACAGACTAAGTTGGAAGAACCTGGCTGGAAAGAGAGGTATTATGAGGAAAATTTTCTGCTAAAACTCCTGAGGAAGTTGAGTTATACAGAAAGACGTTGTAAGTAAGTGACTTGAAGTGTTGCTAATTTTGTTCACGTGGAGATCTAGCTTAAATTGCACTTCTGGTATTCAGGTCTTGAAATAGGCCTACGTTGGGTTATGCACTATTATCGTGAAGGGGTTTGTTCTTGGCAATGGTGAGTTCCTTTCAATCCACTTTCTAAAGTGATTTGCTGAGCCTAGTGCTTAGAATGCTTTCTTTTGCTTACCATTTGTAATAGCTTTTTCTTTTCCTCATCTTTTGGGTCTGCTCACTTGCTTAATAACACTGAAACGAATTGAGCAAAATTTGGGCGATGAGTGCCCTGCATATTGCCATTTATTTCTTTTTAGTCATTAATGTTATAAGAACTACTTTGAAGTTACAGGGTTAAACCCATGTTTAGTTTAAACTTAATAGATATGAACTGTAACGGATGGAAGGCCTAATGTATAAATTATATACCTTTTTATATTTCCTCACATGTGATGCTGATGTCTTTTGGATTTGGTTTGCACCAAGAGAATCTAATAGTCTGTTTTTTCCCTTGGGTGTTGATAAAGCAGGTTTTATCCTTATCACTATGCCTCCCTTGCATCTGACCTGAAGGGCCTTAGCAAACTTAACATAAATTTTGAGCTGGGGACTCCATTCAAACCGTTCGACCAGCTCCTAGGTGTTTTTCCTGCTGCAAGGTTCGTTCGCTCTACTTTTTTGTTCTACTTATGTTAGTATGGTCTAATCCATTATATGAGATATAAATTGTGACTTGTCTGCAGGGCTCATGCTCTTCCTCAGCCATATAGGAAATTGATGACTGATCCAAATTCACCAATTATTGATTTTTATCCGAGTGGTATGCTGTTTATTTAAAAAATGGAAGTTAAGTTCGTGTTGCCTTTGTTGCTCTTCTTTCTTACATCGTTGCTTTGTCAGACTTTGAAGTGGACATGAATGGCAAACGCTATGCTTGGCAGGTGTGTTACACTTGTACCCTGGTTCTAGTGTATTCTACAAGTGAAGTTGAGTTTGTTAGGTATTGATGAAATGATTCGTAGACCCTTAAATGTTTGACTTGATGTGGTCCTTGACATTGGACGGGATCCTATATAGCTAGGTAGTTAAGAGTCTGAGCTTTGTTACGCCCTCCCCACAATTCTGTTAGTTAAAATATATGTGTTTTGACGCAAGGTATGGTGTGTTTGTGCCATCTTCACAGCAAGTTCAAAGGGTCATTTTTCAAGGAGGCAGTAAAATTATTCATAAAACCAGCAGTGGACTTTCACTTTATAGATTTAGCTTTAGAGTTGAAGTGATCATTGATAGAGGTAATTACTACATGTTATGGAGTCATGAACATTGCTATTGCTTTCCTGTGTAGGGCGTTGCAAAACTGCCTTTTATTGAAGAAGCAGGTCTTCTTGCAGAAGTTTGGAAAATTGAACACCTATTATCGGTATAGCACAATTTTCCATTCTGTCTAAGACGCATATGTTTTTTCAATCCACCTTTCTTGATTACCCCACTTTTTGTTTGCTGATTTTCTTTTCTGTCTATTTATGTTGTGCTACCTTATGCAAAAAACGGCAGAGGAAACCCGGCGGAACATTGTTATGTTTGAATTGCTTTTTGTCAATTCTTGTCGTCCTCTCTCGGCATGCATATGCACACTTGACAACAAAGGTAGAAATATGTTAGATAAAGACCGCATTGAGGTTAAGGAACCTATCAATCCTAAAGAGAGGTATGCTTGGCAATTTGCTAAAGAAAAACCTGTTATTTTAGGGGAAGATATAAATGCTTTATCTTTTGATGACTGTGTCCTGAATTTTTTGGAAGTTGTGGCTTCTGATCAACAACCCAAGTTTGAATTTCAGTTTTTTATAATGTGATGTGATGAAACATAAAACAGTAGATTAAGTCATAAAACATATGTTTGTTTAGAAAAAGAATTCAATTTTGGTTGCTTCTCCATTATTTTTCTTGTCGATGACATTTAAGACATTTCTGATGTTATTTAGTGCTACTATATGCAGTGGCGGAATGAATGGTTACATATCACTGTATGTTGGAGAACCTTGCCCGCCAATTTTCAGGTCGCCTGTTGCAGGCATGGAAATATTGGACAACTTAGTCATGTAAACCTTTCAATGTGTATATGATTTGTTTTCACTTGATATATGGCCACTGATGTGCTGAACCTTCCTGTAATTTTATTCATTCTCTCACTCCCACTTCTTTGTGCAGATGTGGGATATACGGACTACCAGATAAGCATAGGCAGATTACTCGGCCACCTAATGGAGTTAAATATCACAAGAAGGCATTTGAATTTTCTATGTGCTGCTTATTTGTCCTCCCTTTACTCTCGCAATTATTAATTGTTCAACATAGCAGGTTTATTAGATTAAGACACGCCCGATCAACATAACCTATTCATGTGTTTAGTTGGCTTGCAATGTTAATATAGGCGGTAAAAGTAATAATGAGTTCATTTTCCCATACAGATCGTGACAGTTGGTGATCTGAAAGCTGAGCCTGTTCTGTGGCATGAAGATTTTGGTCGGAGAAACTCAGAGACCGGGAGGTAAAGTTTTGGCTATTGATGTCAGATCAAAACCTTTGGTTTTATCGTGAGGCCTGTGATTTACCATTTTATTATCCAGATTCTTATTTTGACTGAGGCAATGGCTGCTTATTTCAGGCAAAACCCTCCAGGATCCATTTCTAGCAGGCAGCTTGGAGAGGCAGCACATCGTTTCCCGGCTAACTCTCTACAAGTGAAGGTCCAATCTAATGGACATGAACATATAATTAATGGACAACATCGTCCTTATGTTGTAACGATGTGTCCTCCACAATCATTGCTTCCCGATACGATGCAAGTTTCCCACGCAGGATATCATAGCGCGTGTAGACCTATGTCAGCACCCCTTCCTCCCCGAGGCGCTTGGCTTTTGTCACCTTACGCTTCTATACCTACTCAGCAATATGGCTATACTCAACCTTGTCCAAGACCATCGATTTACAACTCTCATCATCAATCAAATTCTTATCGAAGAAATAACTATGAATGCCCTAGATCTCATCATTATGGAGGAAACACTTACTCTCATCATGTTTCGGGGCATGTGAATTATCTTCCAGACATGTCAGCTTCGACAGATGTCAATGTCTGGCCGTATATTTAAATTTTCAAGTCTCTCAATTCAATCCAGTCGTTTGGTCTAATTTTCTAGTCATGTTGTTTTCTGTTTTATTTAAAGAAAACTATATAATCAAGTCATAATTTAAAAATGAAATACTGTTATTTCCAGTCATTAATATTAGAGCTCGTTTGATTTTTAATTTGGTTTTAAATTTAAAATCTTAATTTACTTTGTCTCTCGTATTTATTCATTTTTTTCAAAATAGTTTTTGTAGTAGTTGTACATGTTAAATGTTCAATCGAATGATAATACATATGATTAGTAAGAATATTCTAGAGAAGAAAATACTTATTTATTATAAATAACTAAATAAAGTTTTTTAATTTATTTAAATTGGTCAACTAGCTTCTATATTAAGGATGAAAGGTAATATTATTCAATTCCCTAAGAACTCTTATTGCATGAAATAAAATTAAACTGTACCATTATTTCAAATTAAAAATCCTTAATATATCATCCCTCAACGATTAAATTTTTTACCAGCACAATTACCTGAATCAATTTTTTTTTTTTTGGGGGGGATCAGACAAAGTGCTCGAGTTAAAGCCGAAATGAGTCTCTTGATAGCGCTATTATACATGGCCAAGACAATTACATACTCTCTAAAAAAGGATACAGCACAATAATAACAGATAAATAATATAGACCCTTTTTTTTACCAGCAATATAGACCCTCGACATGACAACAAACAGATGGAGTAATAACATAAGACGTGGAATATGATGATTGACATTGATCAATTAACAGCCTCCCCTCAAGCTGTTTCAAGTGAAAGAGCCTCAAGTTGTTCTTTTTCATTCATTCTGAGGCATCCAATAGCCCCAGTATGAGTGTTTGGATAATTAGATGAGTTTTGTAAAAATGATTTTTATAAAATACAAAATAAATACGTGAGGAGATTTTTGTGTTGGTTTATTTAAAAGTACTTTTTTTAAGTACTTTACAGTTTTTCAAATACCCAAATATAATGGAATGTCATCCATACATTTGTCTAATTAATAAGTTGCCGCCTTAGAATATACTGATCTGAGAAAAATAAAATTATAAATTTTATTTTAAACCATATTTATAAATAATATTAGTGATAATTCGGACCGAGAAACACAACATTATTAACAAACATATTTTAAATTTTAGATGCAAAATTGTTTTAAAACCAAAAAAATAATTTAACTGTAACCCTATGCTTGTTTTACTACTAGAAAACACGAAAGACAGAAAATTATAAAAATACGTTTGATTTTCAATGTTACATGTTTATCTTCAAACAACAAGAGTCAAGTCGATGTAACTAAATAATCAAATAGTACAGGTTTAAGGCTGCGTTTAGTATGATGGATTTGAAGAAGATGAAGGGGGATTTTGATCATTTTTCTTTGTTTGGCAACATAATTTTAGAAGGAGATCCTTCCTAACCACCCCTCCAAAATTAGTAGGATTTAGAAGAAAAGGACAATATTTTGCCATATTATAATTATTATGCCCGTGTTTATTTTTATTTTTAATATCCCTATATCATCCTAAACTCTTTTCTTCTTCTCTCCAGACACAAACACTACTCTCTCCTTTCCCACATAAAGTCAATAAAACAATAAATAGATTGTCCATGTCATATTTTGAAGAGTTCAATCAAAAGCCAATAAAATAACAAACGGATAAGAGTTAAAACATATAATTATTATTACATATTGTAAGTACAACATAAAACATAATTTTTGCTAACAAAAAATATTATAGAATATAGTTTTATATATTAAATGTTATATAATTATCTTTTATTAAACATTCCATAAAATTTTTAAAAAAATGATGTTAAATAAAATAAGAGTAAAATTGTCCATGCAAAAATATTCTTCCTCCCTTCTTCTCATGAACCAAATAAAATAATATTAAAATTCCTTCCCTCCTCTCTTTTTTTATAAATCTAAATAAGATATTTTAAAATCCCTTCACACTTTTTTTTTCCCCTCCATTAAAATATCTTTCCTTCCTTTCATCCCATTACGCCAAACAGACCCTAAAAAAATCAAATGAACGGAATAAAAAATGAAGGGCGCCATCCTGCCGAAAAGAGAAGCGTGCGAGCTGGCCGATTTCTTAAGGCTTTGTTTGGTTGGGGTTTTTTTGAGGGGAGGGGAGGGGAGGTGAGGAGAGGAGGATGGGAGGATGTGTTTGGTTGGGAGGAGGGGAGGGGAGGTGAGCTAAAAAAATTTGTCCTTTTGTGCTCCCCTCCTCTCCCCTCCCCTCCTCCCCTCTCAAATTAGGAGTTTTTGGAATGGAGAGAAATATTATGAGAATATTGACAAATATGCCCATGTCATTTTTTGAATATTCCAGTGGTGTCTTCTTTATATCTTTTTGGTTTCGCATGATTACCTTCGTATTCCCTTTCGCGGTCACTCAGTTACACACTCACAAAAAAAATATAATATGCATATATGTTAATATATTAATTAATTATATATATTAATATATCATAATTATAAAATGACAATGTTAATATTATATATTTTTTATTTCCTAATATGTGGATGGTATTATTATATAGTTAAGGTCTTGTCTTTTTTTCTCTCATTCACTTTTCTTATATATATAATACTTTTATTTCATAATTTTTTTTATCACATATAAGTGAGGTAATTGGTTTTTTTGAAATTGATAAATTAGGAAATAATAATTTTGATATAAATATTATAATAAAAGAATAAATCTGTTTAAATATAAAGATAAGGGTATATTTTTCAATTTATAATCTCCTCCCTTCCCCTCCCCTTGTGAACCAAACAAGAAATCTCCCCTCCAGCCAAACAAAACCCGTGACCTCCCCTCCCCTCCCCTCCCTCCCTCCCTTCCCCTCCCTTCCATTGGACCAAACAAAGCCTAAGTGTTCGCGGAAAGGACAACGGAATATCCATCCGTTATGGGCATTATATTCTGATTTTTGAGGCTAACATTGTCATTCCATTAAAGTCCCGTGCCCTAGTTTGCTATGCAATCCATCCCGTCCCAAAACCCACACGAGAGACAAAGCTTCGCGGCTTCTCTTTAAGAAATGGGAATCGTTTAAATGCGCGCGAATTCACTGATTCAGCATCTAGGTTGGAAAAATATAGAGGTCCGTGGCGCACTCGTGCCCTCCTTCATCGTCGTTTTCCTCCGAGGGTTACTCAAGGTCGGGCTATAGCAGCATATCTTGATACATTAGTTGGCGGTTTATCTTTCTGCAAATCTCTGTTTGGTGGGTGCATTCCGTTTATAGTCTAATACTAACGAACACTGCAAGGGCTTCAAGATGGGAGTCCCGGCTTTTTATCGTTGGTTGGCGGAGAAGTATCCGTTAGTGGTGGTGGACGTGATCGAGGAGGAACCTGTTGTAATCGACGGCGTCGAAATTCCAGTGGATACAAGTAAGAAGAACCCTAATGACATCGAATATGATAACCTCTACCTCGACATGAACGGCATCATTCACCCCTGCTTCCACCCCGAGGATCGGGTATGGTCTAATGCCTCACTTTTATCGTTTCGCTGCTTCTCTTATATTAGGCTCTGGCCGAGTGTTCGATTGCAGCTTCTGTTCTATGCTCGATGTTACGTATTGCGCTGCACACTTCTTTGAATCAGCGATGAATATTAGCTATACTGCTGTAGACAATTTTATGCTATTCAGAGGACCTAGATGAGATCATAATGAATCCTAAGGTGGAAATAGGGCGCAATGCATTGAATGCTTATTTCTTTGCTGAATTTCAGAAGCAGATAGAATTGTGACACATGTTCATTGAGTTTCTAACCAATCCTGTGCATTTTTCTTTCTTTCTTTTTGCTTGAATACTCTTTCGGTTCATGATTATGATACGTCGTCACTTATCTTTGCTTTCATTGTTGGTTTCTGATCTTCATTAAAGGTTGTCTGCGGTTAGAATATCTATTACATTAGATTACTGCTATTTTAACTTTTGATATTTTGGGTTTTTCTGCTGAAGCTACTACTTTTCCCGTCACCTTAATGTACACGTTTACTTATTCTTCACCACCTTGCTTTTTATGCATTGCAGCCATCCCCAACTACGTTTGACGAGGTGTTCGAGTGCATGTTTGACTATATTGACAGGTTATTTGTCATGGTGCGGCCTCGGAAGTTGCTATTTATGGCTATTGGTATGTGTTTTGATTGGTCTAGTTAGTGATGATGGTGTTATGACTATTATATACATGGTGAATGCATCTTATTGTGTCTCACTGTAGATGGCGTGGCCCCGAGGGCTAAAATGAACCAACAGCGATCTAGACGGTTCAGAGCAGCAAAAGATGCGGCAGAAGCAGTATGTCATGATAGCTTTTGACACCACCTCTCAACTCATTATCATTATCATTTTTATGAGATGACAAGAACAATGACAGTGTTTATTGGATAGGTTTTGCCCTTCTTAATTTCTCGTATTTTTGAATCACAGGCTGCTGAAGAAGCAAGGTTGAGAGAGGAATTTGAGAGGGAGGGTAGAAAGCTTCCTCCCAAAGAGGATGGACAAGTTTTTGATTCTAATGTTATTACCCCAGGAACTGAATTTATGGCTGTTTTATCAATTGCACTTCAGTACTACATTCATCTTAGGCTGAACAGTGACCCTGGTTGGCAAAATATTAAGGTATGAAGCTCATTGTACCTTTTTAGTTGTCTGGATGCTGGTATGGGTGTCCTGATTGAGAGGATTTTTAATGCTATAATTCTTTTTATGCCTGAAGGTTATTCTTTCTGATGCAAATGTCCTGTGGGTGTCTTGATTGAGAGGAATTTTAATGCTATGATTCTTTTTATGCCTGAAGGTTATTCTTTCTGATGCAAATGTTCCTGGTGAAGGGGAGCACAAGATTATGTCATATATCAGGCTTCAGAGAAACCTGAGAGGTTATGATCCAAATACACGGCATTGCCTGTATGGTTTGGTATATCTCTTCTATCTTTCTTCAAGTTCAGCTTCTTGTGTGCTTCTCTCCATTTCTTTGCTTTCTTTATTATGCACTTGGTCAATCATATTGTCATTTGGTATCACATGTCAGGATGCAGATTTGATTATGTTGGCTTTAGCTACCCATGAAATTCATTTCTCAGTCCTAAGAGAGGTGTGTGATTATTGATCCTTAAAATCTTTCAACTCGAGTGGTATCCCTGTGACTGTGTTCTTCATTGGTTTTCTCATTACATTTTGAGAGTGATATGACTTGTGGCAAATGGGTTGTTGCAGATCGTATTTACTCCTGGACAAGCCAAATGCTTCTTATGTGGTCAGGTGGGTCATATGGCTGCAGATTGTGAAGGTAAGGGTAAAAGAAAGTCGGGAGAGTTTGATGAAAAAGGCAGTCCTGTTGTGGCTAAGAAGCCCTTCCAGGTAGATTTTATCAAGTTAAACTTCAATACTTTTGTCATGTTATCCTGCACGTGGAATGATAGTCTAGATTATGCAGTCTTTAACTCTTACATATGTTCTTTCTCATTCAGTTTCTAAACATCTGGACTCTGAGGGAATATCTGGAATATGAGATGAGAATACCAAATCTTCCATTTGAGATTGATTTTGAACGCATTGTGGATGATTTTATCTTCATGTGTTTCTTTGTTGGAAATGATTTTCTACCGCATATGCCTACCCTAGAGATTCGTGAGGTATGATTTACCCTACGACTCATTGCATTCTGTTTCCTTTACCGGTTGCCTACATTTAGCCATTCATATTTTAAGGCTGATATTCTAAACTTGGGTTTGCTCTGAAATGTCACATTGACTTAAATTTTCTAGTTTTCTTTAGTGATGCATGAGTTAGTCCCCTGTCGTTCTGTTTTTGATCAGGCTTTTTGTGGCTATTGTAAAATATTTTGGCTATCGAAAATGTTGTATATGACTTCCATGTTGTGCTGTAATTATATCACCATGTGTCAAGCTCTAAAATTGTTTGGTATGAATCCTTGTTTCAGCGTCTCCACTGTAAGATGTGTATTGATTGACCCTGGAAACATTTAAAAATCTAGTGGTTTGTTAGCTAAAATGGGTTTCATTTTAATATTATGGAAAACTATTGGTCAGTTGACCTGGATTGTGTATTCTTGCAGAAATCTAGCATCTTACGCATTTTGCTTTACTGTCTTTTTGGCCTTGAATTCAAATTTGGATATTAGGTTTTATGTGTCCAGCTAACGTGCCTTTCTTGTTATCAACAAGAGACTGGATAGTGCTATCTCAGGTTCTTAACCCGGTTATTTTGAGTTTGAGTTTGTTATTAAAAATTTGATTAAAACATAACAATGTGTTTGGTGTTAGATAACCTCTGCTGGATATGATGCTTTGGTCCTATAACTGATCTTATCCCTGTAGGGCCTACGCCATATATCTGATCTATTTCTTGGAATTGTGTTTCATGTATTGCTCTAGGGTGCAATAAACTTGTTGATGGCAGTATACAAGAAGGAGTTGAGGGCCTTGGGGGGTTATTTAACTGATGGAAGCAAGGTATAGAATGTCAATTTGGGTTTGACATGTTGCGTTCTGCTTCGTCACATTCCATATATTTAACTTTTCTATAACTTGTCTTGTTTTCTTCCTACGTTTTGTTTTTTCCAGCCCTGCTTAAGCAGGGTGGAACGTTTTATTCAGGCTGTTGGATCTTATGAAGATAAAATATTCCAGAAAAGAGCTCGGTTGCATCAGGTCTGTTTTTATCTGCTTCCGCTGTTCAGTGATGTGCTTAGCTGAGTAGACGGGGCTAAATATTTTCATGCTTTATTGGGAGTTCTACATTTTACTCATTTCAGGCCTTTTGTTAGTTTTGTCAAGGCAGTGACACCTCTATTTTTCACCTGTGTCGTGTTGGACATGTGTCTGACACCAGTACCACCATGACATGTTACATGCGCTACACATGGGCATGGGTGCATTAAAATGATTTTTTCGTTTATGCTCTTGCTCAACAGGGCTCAAACTTGAACAGCCCCTTCCCCCACTAAAAAATATAGGAGAGACTGGAAATCCATTATTGTCTTAGTTTTTCTGGTATGATGTTCTGAATATATAGGATAGTTTTACTTGTGTTTTGATTTAGAAGGACTTCACAAATTAAAAGATTAAGTGGTTAGGGTCGAGCATTGTACATGTATGCTTAGTCGTCTCAGACATTATGTATTGATGTGTCCGTATTATATGTCCCTACAGGATACTGTCAATAACAATTATTCATTACATTGAGATATTTTCCTTCCATTTTGTAATTTGTAATCATGAGATTGAGACTTTATGGTGCACAATGGGAAAAGAATGTTAGGGGATATATTAGAAATTATTTCTAAATTAGGGATTAAGGGTCAACATGGCAATTAGAAACTTTTCCTTTGGTGAATTGATGTTGCTTTGAATTTGATTGATTACCCTTTTGTCATACTTTTATTATTTTTTGTTTACTTTAACGAGGATTAATCGCTTGGCGCTAGATATATCCATCAATAATTAGGATTTCAATATCCTTTTTTGAATTGATTATTAGTGAAGGTTCTTTTGGTTTGCTGACCGTCTCTCTCATCTCTGCTTCTTTCTCCGTTTTCTCCCCTTTTTGATTAATTTGTTGCTTTATATATATCTTGGAGGAGGAAGAAGGGAGCATGCTAAGAACTTTGTAGATGTTAAAAAGTTTTATATTCATGTTGATGAATGCTTATCTTTCATTATATTGTTCTGTTGATTCCAAAATCAACAAGTGAGGTATTGTAATATATTTTTACTTGTTTATAGAACTAGACATTTTAGCCTCCAATATATATTGACGGTTTAGCTGTAGTTATACTAGAAGTGAGATGGTGACTCCATTTCCTATTTCTTTGTCTTCAGCGGCAAGCGGAAAGAATTAAACGTGACAAGGCCCATGCGAGAAGGGGTGATGATATTGAGCCTCAAGTTCTGCCAGAGTCTCTGGTTCCAGTTTCACGGTTTCACGGTTCTCGTCTTGTTTCCTCCCCAGCTCCTCCATATCAACAATCTGGGCAATCAAATGGCTTAAAATCAGCTAGAAACCATGTTGGGCAAGCCACAAAGGAATTTTCAAATCTTGAAATACACAAAACTTATCACAGCAATATTGAGGCTTCTGAGCGGCCTCCCAAAGTTGCTAGGTTATCTTCAGGAGCAACTATTGGTGCTGCTATTGTTGAAGCTGAGAGTAGTCTTGAAATAGATGTATGTTTTCCTGCTTCAGGAGAGGCATTTAAATGTTATTCTGACTGTCAACCATTCTCTAGAACTAGTGCATAGGCTAACCTGTGATTGGGTATGAGCCTGATGAGGAGTTTTAAATGTTTTTAACACATCGTCAGAGCATTTTGTTATTTTCTTCCACAATAATTTGTTTTCATAGTAGTGTTTCTAGCTTGTGATTTCTTCCCTCCTTTGCTGTCGAGTTGACTCTTTTTTGGTTTAGGTTGAAGATAACAAAGATGAATTGAAATCTAAACTTAAGGAGAGGTTGCGTGAGAAATCTGATGTATTCAACTCAGCTGATCCGGAGGAGGACAAGGTCTGAAGTGTTGAATTCATGTCGTTTACATTTTGGGTGTCCTGATGTGCATTAGACTTCACAGTTCACATTCTAAATATTGTGGTGTCCATGCTCAATTATCCTGCATATGTATATCAGTTGAGTTTCAATGCTTTCTAAAATTCATGGGGCAACTAGTTATGTATAGTTTCTGTTGTTGGTGGTTGTATCATTTTTTCAAATAGATAAAGTTGTGTTTGTCTATTTGAATTTCTCTATTCTAATCATGTTTCCAACAAGTTAATTTGCCAATGGGAAAAATTAGAGGCAAACTTGTTTCTAATTGGTTTGATTATCTGTCCAGCTATGGAGTTAATATTTACTTGTAAAGGTTGTCCTGCGATGTTAAAGTGATGGCATGTTTTCTTAATTGGGTTGGGTGATAGATCCCTTTTTTTATTGGGCACTTTGCACTTGTTCTAGTGATTCCTAGAAAAACTCGGTGCAACATACAAATGTTGAATTTAACAATCTGAAGATTGTATTTTCAAGTCTTTCTGCACCTGTTCATCATGCTTATCCTTGGAAATTAGCTTCTTGTTTTGAGTAGTGTGGCATTGGTGCTAATGAAATGTCTGTTATTCTTTCTATATTGCAAATATTTTTATTTGCTAGTAGTTATTTTCATTTAATTTCACTTTATTTGCTCTGATGTTTCTTATTTTAACAGATTAAGTTGGGAGAACCAGGCTGGAAAGAGAGGTATTATGAGGAAAAATTTTCTGCTAAAACTCCTGAGGAAGTTGAGTTGATACGGAAAGATGTTGTGAGTAATTGACTTGAAATGTTGCTAATTTTGATTCATGTGGAGATCTAGCTTAAGATGCATTTCTGGTGTTTAGGTCTTGAAGTACACAGAAGGCCTATGTTGGGTTATGCACTATTATTATGAAGGGGTTTGTTCTTGGCAGTGGTGAGTTCCTTTACTTCTAAAGTGATTTGATGAGACTAATGCTGATATGGCTTTCTTTTCTATTAGTCATTCTTTTTCTTCTTCTTTCTTCTTTTTTTTTTTTAAAAAAAAAAAAAAATTCCCCCGGGGGGTGTTTGGATTGTAGTAAGCAGCAACTTAGTTTTCATCAGATTATTATGGGTCAGTTATGGTTGGGTTGCTGTCTGAAAATCCTTTGTGTATTTTTAACCCCAATCTTTAAAAAAAATTGGCCTTAAATTGGTTGAACCTTCTGCCCTTTTTTTTTTTTGGGGGTGGGGATTGAACCCTGGATAAAACCGCTCTCTCTTTTTGTTAACGTGATCAGAGTTACATTGAAGGCCTAATATACAAGTTATGTACCTTTTTATATTGCCTCACGTGATGCTTATGTTTTCTAGATTTGGTTTGCACCAATAAAAGGCTGATAGTCCCTGTTTTGCTTGGGTGTTTATGAATCAGGTTTTATCCTTATCACTATGCCCCCTTCGCATCTGACCTGAAAGGCCTTAGTGAACTTAATATAAACTTTGACCTGGGGACCCCGTTCAAACCATTTGACCAGCTTCTAGGGGTTTTTCCTGCTGCAAGGTTTGCTCTCTGTACATTTTTGTTCTGATTATGTTGTTATGGTCTAGTCCATTACATAAGAATAAATTGTGACCTGTGTGCAGTGCTCACGCTCTTCCTCAGCCATATAGAAAATTGATGACTGATCCAAACTCACCAATTATTGATTTTTATCCGAGTGGTATGCTGCTTATTTTGAAAATTAAGTTTTGTACGTGTTACCTTTGTTGCTCTTCTTTCTCACATTGTTACTTTGTCAGACTTCGAAGTGGACATGAATGGCAAGCGCTATGCTTGGCAGGTGCGTTGCACTTGTACCCTGGCTTTAGTATATTCTACAAATGAAGTTGAGTTTGCTAGTATTGATGAAATGATTTGTAGCCTCTTAAATGTTTGACTTGATGTGGTTGTTCGCATTGCACTGGATCCTATATAACCAGGTGGTTAGAAGTCTGAGCTTTGTTACCCCCTCCCCGCATTTATCTTAGTTAAAAGATATTTTTACGCAAGGTATGGTGTGTTTGTGCTGTCTCCACGGCAAGTTTAAAGGGTCATTGTTCGAGGAGGCAGTAAAAATATTAATAGAGCCAATAGTGGGCTTTCACTTTATAGATTTAGCTTTAGAGTTGAAGTGATAATTGAGAGAGGTAATTATTATGTCTTGTGGAGTCATGAATATCGCTATTGCTTTCCTGTGCAGGGTATTGCAAAATTGCCTTTTATTGATGAAGCACGTCTTCTTGCGGAAGTTGGGAAGATTGAACACTTGTTATCAGTATGGCACAGTTTTCTATTCTTGCTAAGATGTCTGATTATTCAATCCACCTTTCTTATCCCTCCCCCCCTTCTTTTTATTTGCTGATTTTCATTTTGTCTATTTATGTTGTACTATGTTATGCACAAAAAAGGCAGAGGAAACCCGACGGAACAGTGTCATGTTTGAATTGCTTTTTGTCAATTCTTGTCATCCTCTCTCGGCATGCATAAACACACTTGACAACAAATGTAGAAATATGTCAGACAAAGAGCGCATTGAGGTTAAGGAACCAATCAATCCAAAAGAGAGGTTGGTTATGCTTGGCAATCTGCTGAAGAAAATTTTATTATTTGAGGGAAGATGTAACTGCGTTATCTATTGATGATTGTGTCCTTAATTTTTTGTTTGGAAGTTGTGGCTTCTGATCAACAATCCTAGTTTGAATTTAAAGTTTATATAATGCGATGTGATGAAACATAAAATGATCAGTCTCAACAACATTTAGGAATCTTTGTTTTCATTGATAAACTTGGACTTCTGATGAGTCATTGAACATGGAACTAAGTCTTTTATGACATAATTGATAAATGTTTCCCTTTAATAGATTAATTCATAAAGCATATGATTTGTCTTTTTGGATAATAATCACTTTAAACACGAGCTGGGACAGTCAGTAATATATTATGCTAGGTAAGTAGATCTCCCAGATTTTTATGACATGTTAATATGTGGTCCCAGTAACATGGGTTGATTTAGTTGCAAATCTGTTTTGGTGATGGAGCAAATTTTGAGTGGACGAGATTATTCTTTCCAGACAATAAACATATTTACTTACTCGAGCCATGATAATTTGAGTAGGAAGAAGTAGAAAGGGTGATTGAAGAGCAAATGTCTATTTACGCTTTGATTGTTTAAAAAGAGAGCTGGGCCGCTATTTAAGCTAGAGTGATCAGAATTGTTCAATTTTGTTTGCTTCTGCACTATTTTTCTTCTTGATGACATTTAAGATCTGCTCGAACTACTTCTGATGTTATTTAGGGCTGCTACATGCAGTGGTGGAATGAACGGTTACATATCACTATGTGTTGGAGAACCTTGCCCACCAATTTTCAGGTCGCCTGTTGCAGGCATGGAAGATATTTTGGACAACCAAGTCATGTGAGCCTTTCATTGTCAATATGACTTGTTTTGACAACCAAGTCTTGATTTATGGTCATTGATATGCTGAAACTTACTTTTATTTTAATCATTTTCTCACTCCCACTTTGTGCAGATGTGCTATATACAGACTACCAGATAAGCATAAGCACATTACTCGGCCACCTAAAGGAGTTAAATGTCCCAAGAAGGTATTTGAATTTTCTCTCTGCTGCTTATTTTATCCACCCTTTACTTTCCAATTATTAGTTGTTCAACATAGCAGGTTTATTAAATTAAACCCATGCCTGATTGACATAATATGTTCTTTTGTTTAGCTGGCTTACATTGTTAATATAGGCTGTAAAGGTAATAGAGTTCTTTTTTCCCATACAGATCGTGACAGTTGGTGATCTGAAACCTGAACCTGTTCTATGGCATGAAGATTTTGGTCGCAGAAACCTGGGTACCGTGAGGTAAGGCTTTGGCTATTGATATCAGATCAAAACCTTTGGTTTTATAGTGAAGCCCATGATGGAGGTTGTCAAAATCAGGAGCTTAAATAAACTCGTGGAGTTGATAAACTTGGAACATACAACTCTATCTTAAAGGCGCAAGAGTTTACTTTTCATAATAAATAATTATTAAAATATATAAATATTATTAAATATAATATACCTAAAATCTTTATCATGTTTATTACTTGTCAACTAAGCCATACTCAGATTATTATAACTAATGTGTATGTATAAATAATTATTTATTATAATCAGTTATTTAATATATTAATTTTCTTATAAGTTTCCTCATTTATCCCTGTTGAATGTAGGTTTGTGTTATTGAAATAGGTGCAAAGTTGGAGATTTTCTAAATTTTTGGACAAAGTTAACGAATTTTAAGGTTTTTCTTGGTTAAACATGTTGAAAGTCACTTATAAATACGACTGGAGGAGTAAGTTTTTAAATAATTTTCCTTAATTCATTGATTGACATATTTAGTATGACTACCATTTGTAAAATACTTTTGTATGATAAAAATATAATTTATATTTAAAAAAATAAATTGTTTACTATTGTCTTAATCAATTGGAAGATCACGTTAAAATAGGTTTGTGCTCATGTACATTTAAGTTGGCGGGATGAAAATCTTGTCAATTGGAGGATCACATAAAAATAGAAGCATAGATATGTCGAGATTTAAATGCTATTTTAACAACAATGCCTGTGATTTAGTATGTTATTATCCAGAGTCATCCGACTGGCCTAAGTTTTGACTGGGGCAATGGCTTTTTATTTCAGGCATAACCCACCAGGAGCCATTTCTGGCAAGCAGCTTGGAGAGGCTGCACATCGACTTCTGGTTAACTCTTTACAATTGAAGGTTGAATCTAATGGACATGGACATATAATTAATGGAGAAGCTCATCCTTATGCTGCACCAATGGGTCCTCCGCAATCACTTCCCTATCCAATGTATGATTCCTACTCAGGATATCATGGCGCATCTGGATATATGTCAGCTCCTCTGCCTCAAGGCCCTCTACATCCGTCACCTTACACTCCGCCTACTCAGCAGTATGGCTATACTCAACCTTATGCAGGACCATCGATGTACAACTCTCATCATCAATCAAATTCTTATGGAAGAAATAACCATGAACGCTCTAGATCTCATCATTATGGAAGAAATGATCCCTCAATGGCTCATGGTACTGGGCATGGCTATCAACCATTAGATGCTAATTATAATGCCAGGTTTGTGAATGTACATGGAAATGCTCCTGCATATAATGGTGCGTATGACAATTACCATCAAGGTCAGCATAGCTCAAATTTCCACTCAAGTAGAGCACCAAGTCAACAACCAGTTCGGCAAAACTGGGTCACCCGACGTAACCCCAGGGGTCCTAGAGAAGATGGTCACCCTCAACAGCCAGCCAATCGATATTCTCAATTAGATAGAGGAGCGAACAGGAACCAGCAACCCCCACCTTATTATGGCCGCTAATTGATTCTTTTCTGAGGGATATCTACCCCCGAGAAAAGGAGTATGTTGTAGAATATGTTTCCCCCCTCATTTAGTTTTGCTCGAATGTTGTAATATTAGCTTCTATTCGTCATTCAAATGCTTTAGGTTATTTCCTGGCAATTTTTTATTAATAATTTAGCATAAGTAAAAGAAAATTCTTTTTTTTTTTTTTAGCATTTTTGTCATGGCCTTTAGTTTCCTGTTAAATAGTCCGGTCCAGGTGTTGAGCCATGGATTGTCAGGATTCTCATTTGGGGACGAAAGCAGGAAGCATGGTTTTGATGAGACATGTATAACGGGTGATGGATGTTTATTTCTAATACTTGGTGATGGCTTTTTGCCCCTTATTTCGGAGAACCACTGAGACCTTTGTATCGTGCACTTGGTACAAGGCTATAAATAAACGTGTGCTTTTAGGAATGATAAAAACAATGGCACAACAGATCCACGCCTGTTCCGGGCACGCACTCGGTTTTAGACGCTTGTGCCGAACACCAAACGGGTCGTTTGGGGGTTAGACCTTGCTGTTCCTCTTGCTTGTGTTACTGATGTTTAGATGCTTTGATGTTGCAATTGAGGTCGTCCGGGGAGGCATATGTGGCGTCGTATGAATATTTGAGAAGGCTTATGGAAGGGAATCATTGGAAGAAGTAAATAATTAGATATATTTGTTGTACTTGCTTGTGTGCGCATCGTATAGGTCTGTGATTTACAGAAGGTGGTGGTGGGGCAGTGACGAGGACAATGCAGAGGAGAGCAGGTGCCGAGAGTTTGGTCACCGATGGGGGCACCGTTGGGGATGGTGACTCCAGTTGCGAAACAGATAAAATATAAGTGGCCCTATGAAGCGCACGTGTGCAACGTAGTCCCATGTAGGCCCAATTACAAGCCCATATCCTTCCCTTCTCTTCCTGCCAGCGACAGTACGAACTCTTGCTCATCATTCATAATACAAGTGATTGAGTTTTAATTTGAAAAAAAAAATGCCATGCCTAGGGCCATGATGGAGATGGTGGGGCCCGGTTTTTTGATCAAATGAACAATGCTTCGCCCTCACACGCCGTCTATCTCCACAAACCAAGTGCCAAGTTGGGAGTGGGAAAGCGACGCATCATGAAGTCATGTATGACGTAAACTCTCCCTCAAGTGATGGCTTGTTACCTAATATACCTAGTACCACACACATACTCCTAAAGCAACACTAACACCAACATGGTGAATTCTTGGTGTGACGTCCTGTTGTAAGTTGGGAATTGTGATTTTTTAAGTTACAACTTGAAGAAGAGTAAGATGAAGTCTTCAAATATTAGGGTTCCAACTTTGAAGGGATCTTTTTTGTTAAGGATGATGCCGTGTGTTGGTGGTGGATCTGAATTAGGAAATATAGAAGAAGAACATGAAATTCTGTGTTTTTCCCAAAATGAAGGAAGACAGATCTGATCTGACATTTTCACAAGAACCGTGTTTGTGGTCCCCTCCACCCTTATCCTCACGATTCTTCTGTCTCTATTTGAATCATAACTCCACTCACTCTTCTTGCCTCCCTCCAAAACCACATCTCCATATGGCCAGTAAATTACAGACTCCTCTTTTCAGGCCACTGAAACCCATTCCATTTCCCCCTTGCAAGTGTCACATCTCAGTAAGTAAAACTAGTAACTAATCCATGATCAAATTTATGCTAGGTTTTACTTAAATCAAAATGGGACTAAAATAAGCAAACTCCCTGGTTTGACATTTGATATTATGGCTCTGTTTGTGACAAATGGTGATTTAACACAGCCCAACTTGTAGTTGATTAATGACATGACCAGACCAGTCAAGAAAACCATGCCAAAGAGGTTATTTCAGGAACCAATGGGTCATTCCCACATACGTTATTCTTAAAAATTATATACAATACATTGTTTCCCAGTCCCAGAACCACATATGCCTGCCTTCAATTAAGCCCCTCACTGTGGGGAGACGGTGAGGTTGTTCCTTCTCAAACCTTCTAAAGGATCAATCTTGGAGATCTAGCCTATTTTTTTTTAATCATATATCTTTAACAAAAGTTCAGTCAAAAAAGACCAAAAGCATTCCTTTCATCACATCATTAAACAAAACCCCAAATATCAAACCGACTCAATTATGCAGCGAGTCAATGATATGAGCTTGTTTCCTGGAATTAAATAAATATTTTAGAACTAGAAGTAGAATAAGAAACGAATTAATGCGTTTGAGAAGCTACAGAAGACAAGTTTATATGTTAATGGCTTTTGGGGAATGAATGTACTTGCCCTTGGGAGGCATGCCAAGGCGAAGAAAGCAACGTCTTTGATTTCTACATGTTAATTAATTAATTAATTATCAACTTCACAGATCCTAATAATAATTAATTTTTCGAACACAAGTTTAAATATATGAAACCGATAAAAACAAGCTAGGAAGCTGCAACGAAACACGAGGAGCCAACCAACCGTATACCAGATAAGATGGCTGATTGGATGAAGACTTTGAATTTGGGGGATGTTCCTATATACGTAAGAAAGCACTTAATCTTCTTCTTTTAGAAAAAGAGGAGAAAATGATATAAAGAAGACGAAAGTTTATTAAAATAATGTGTTTGGTTCAGAAGAAAAGGGGAGGAAGGAGACAAAACGGTGAGTGAGAGAGATCACAGCTGGCCATGGCCGAGCAAGAGAAGAAGAAGACGCATCCTCCACAGTTCTTTCCTTTGTGTGTGTGAGATAGAAATTGCATGTGCAATATATGAATAATAATCCACCAGTTATTGTACATGTGGCAGTTTATGACATTGCAAAGTGAAAAAAAAATATACGTAATGTACCTCTCGTATATAGGGGTGTAAGTGGAGGGAGCTCTTTAACTTTTATGATTATTGATAATATTGATAATGATATAATTAAAGTTGGTGATATCATCATGGGACGCCTCTTTTGCATCACACTTAATTAGTAGCAATAACTACCTCTTCACATTCATTTTGCTCTCTTCAAAGCTTATTTGAATACGCTCTTTGCTTCAACAAACTAAACTACCTTACCAGTTCACATTTGTCCTTAAATATTTTAATTAATCAACTTTCAACGTCTCAAATTATATATGGTTTCCGTATTAGGATATATCAAGAATCCTCGTATTTGTTGGACAAGCATTTAGATCAAAAGTTGTCATTTTGACGTAATTGTTGGTCTATAAGCTTGTATTTTAAGTTAACATTTATAATTGTTAATCTAATCTCATTCTTTTTAATTACTTCATTGTATTTAATTAGTCTATAGCTTCTAACGTTTTGTTTTAACTAAACTATCCCCATTTTAATTCCTTTATTGTCTAAATTTTGCATGTGAATTAATAAATCATTAATTACTACTATCTCCAGTTTTAATTATAAGACCTCGTTTGTAAACTATAAATAAGGTTTCATAATTAAGACCAGAGGTAGTATAAAGGGTTACTTCACATGGAGCTTATTTAATTTAATTAAGAAAAAATAAATGAAGCATCTACATCTATATTGTGTGGGAGGAGATGAGAGAAAGAGAGAAGGATCAAGGATGCATATTTCTTCTGTAGGTTGTGTTTTAGAAGGAATTTGTGGCAACAAATAATGCAGGTCAAGTCACTCTTTAGCACTTTAATTTTTTTAAAAAGAAATACCTTCTTACAAATTTTCAATAAAACTCTTTTAGTAGACGACAAGTTATCCTAACAGCAACGCCATCTGTCACACTTGGATGAAATATCATATTGATATCTAGCATTGGCATGTTTGTATTTAAACTAGATGTTATCTTTATCTAGTATTGATTTTATGTTTTACAAATTAAAATTGACTTTTTTAGCTCGTCGACAAAGATATTTTAATAAGGGTAACAGAATTAATGAATTTTAAACTTCTTAATTCAAGTGAAAACATTGGAAGTTATTATTTGAGAATAAGTAGAGGGCGGAGAGATTATACAAGAGGGAGTATAATATTTTAATGAAGCATTACACGAGGGTATAAGTGGGCAAGCAAGCACTGAAGTCTGAAATTGCGAATCACAACAGGTTTGAATCTAAAAGCAATGGAAGAATCGAAAGGGACAAGTATGAATCAGAATCTATAATTATACGTATGAGTGATTAGTATCACACGTCAGCCAAGAATATAGATAATACCAATAAGACTATATTCTTGGTTATATGAAAAGAACAAAATTAGTGATACATAATTAAAAGAGAGTTTGACAAATTCTGGAATAAAGCATGCACAGGGTGTGAAAGATCCTATCTAACCACATGGGCATTCATATGAAAAACATTCTTAAAAAGGCCAAACCTCACAGGATGTGTGGATCTATATAAATGAAGGGATCTGAGTAACCAAGTAAAAGGAGTGGTACGTGGGAATTAAAGAGTGGTCAGCGTCAATGGAATCTTTTCATGTATAAATGGCAGCTTAGCTTAGCTTAGCTCATGATTTAGAGTATGAATCAACGAAACCACACACGCTTTCCCACACCTAATCTTTACTTTCTTCCTTTCTTCTTTAATTCCTTTTTCTTTGCTTTAACCTTTTTCAAATTAACAGCAAATCTGGACCCCCACTTTTATGAGTCCCATCCCTTTGGACTACACACAATTCATCGGGATTTTTCAGACTTTCTTGATTCTTGATAATGTTTCAACTTTCACTTTCCACGGTGTGTGTGTGTGTGTGTGTGTGGTGTGTGTGTGTGTGTGTGACTTTTATCTTAAACCAGAGGCTGATATATAACACACCTGTGATTCTGCAATACGTTTAGGAAATACGGTCAGGAAATAACAGAGGGAAACAAAAAGCCTACGTCGCCGACAAATGTTTACCTGTTTACGTGTTGGCTGAAAACACGGGAGTGTTGCTCACTTCCTTCAACCAAAAAATGCGAATTAATTTAATTTGTAGTGCAAATTGTATTGCAAATGAGGTTTTATATTTACGGTTCAAGGTATTAATTTGGGTCTAAAAAGATGCCTCCGGTCCTAAATGTAATATATAATTTGTAGTATAAACTAGATTTTATATTCAGTATCGTAGGTAATATCTGATATGGTGTGTCAAGGCAAACAGGTTTTTTTTTCCCCTCCTAAAATCACTTTAAAATTAAAGCATCGTTTTCTTACTTCTGCCTTTTGGCTTTTGTTTATGTTAAACCTTCTAAATTTAATTTTTAAATGTGTTATCCAAATGTTTTTGTCAAATTATTTTTTAATAAAAATTTATCTAAATATAAATCATATTGCACTAATTGATTTGCAGTCTATATGGGATAGTAATAATTTGTATCTCAATTTTACATGACAAAAGTCAATAAAAGTG